CATGTGTGGTCCAAAAGGGTTGTGCCTGTGAGGCTTTTAGTTTTGCAATAATCTTTTGAATCAAGGGAGATTGGCCCTGAGGGTTGAGTGCCGGGGTCCTTGTTGCTTCTGGTTTTGAGCTGAAGCTGAAGCTTGGTTGAGAGTGGTTTCTTGTACAATCATGTCGAAGCTTTTGTTCCTCTCAGAAATTGAGCTTGGAACAAGGTGTGTCGACCCATGTTGATTGGATTGAGTTGGCTCACTCCTTTGTTGATATTGCAGAGGACTTGGGAACTTGAATTGATACTACGTTCTTTCCAGGCAGCACGTTCGTTCCGTGTGAATACACGTCCCTGCTTGGCGCGGGGGATTCAGTTGCTGACTTGGGTGGTGCAACAGACTATTTACACCTGGGAAGATGATCATGGAACCTGGAAATGGACCAGACTCTTCCTCTACAACCCAGTGGTTTTCAGGTTCCATGCGGGCCTGATGATGGGTCAGACGAGCGAAGTCTCGAGCACGCATCCGATCAGAACGGTGTGTATCGTTGGCGCGCAGATGTGAGATGTGATGTCCATCGATGCGTAGGTGAGCTCGATGCGTAAGTGAGAGGTGAGATGCGCGTAAGTGAGGTGCAATGCGCAAGCGAGCAAATTGTCGACGCGCAAGTGAGCGCCCTGCCCGCCCCGGTGCGTAGACGGTGCGACATGAGCGCCAGGACAGCGACCGACATGAAGTGCTCAACACGCAAACCGGCGAGGTGGGGGGGTTGGGGGATATGGAGCAAGTTGACTTTTGACTTGGACCACTGGGACTGTTGGTTTGGACCACTGAGCAGATTGATTTAGACTAGACCACGTGGACTACCCCCAATGGATAAGGAAGGGGATGGTTTTGCCATGTTTTACCCCTTGGATCCCCTTGGGAAGAGGATATTTGACCCAAGTGACTGGAGGACAGGTGCAGGCCCTCGCGGAACCGTAGGCAAAGCCATGCATGTGTTTGAGAAGGAGGAACTGTACATGCGTCACACGAGCATAGCCAGGTGTTTGCATCGCATGCTCCCTGTCAAGGAATTGGCCACATTCTCCTACAGAATGGATGCTCATCCCCCACCACTTTTTAACACAACGGTCATCACAGATAGTCTAGAGGAGGTTACCAGGTTGTATGCTGATTTGAAGTGACCCAGATTAAGACTGCGGAGAATGTCGGGTAGATTCGTTAAGATTTACTCACTGGTAGATGTTGCGGTCGCCCGGCGCCGTCACATGGCCAACAAGCCATGCGACGACCAGCCGAGGCTGGGCCTCGTGCACGCAAAACGCATGACTCCGCTGCACCCATTGAGCCCCATTGGCACGGCAGAAGAAAGGAACCCTATACAGCCGTAAGTATAGCCATAGAGCCATCAAAAAACAGGGAGAGATTTAGACGTGTCCTAGAAGATCATCCGTCAGTTCAAGGGAGATTGAAAGCTCGTACCAGTCGTACCACCGCACAACCGGTCACACCAACCGGCACCCTGGGTCGCACACGGGTGTTATTGGGTCCCTCGCTTCAGGTCACGCAAGCGCTTGCAATGCCAAGCCCCC